GGGGGGGGGGGGGGGGGGGGGGGGGGGAAGGCAAAGGGGGCAGTTGCCCCGGGTCCCACTCTTTCAGGGGGCCCCGAAGGAAATAAAAACGTTAAGTTCAAAGAAAGTATTGTATTTGCGTAAAGTAGCGGAGGAGGAGGCCCCAGGAATTCACTTGTCCCGGGCCTCGCAACTTCTTAATCCGGCCCTGTGCATACGTTATACTGCACGCGACTCGACCACCGGACGAACCGGTTGGTGTCATCACGGATGGTGCTGGACGCCATGAACGAGTCTCCCTTCCGTAGAATTTTCATAACGACCCGTCTGCAGTCGCTACTTTCTCGAATCCTACGGAAGAGTTCCCCCCCCCCCCTTTGCCATGAAGACAGTCGTCGAAGAGCGAGTTTCAATGATACCCGACTCTGATGGAGCTCGGGTTACAAATACCGATATATGAATTTCGGCAAACCGTGGAGGGAGACTGGTTTTGCATGAGAGAAGAAGCATCAGTCAGAGGTTGAAATGCAATGCGGAAATGCTTTGCATGTTCTTCCGCATCCGCTTGCATCTCGTGCGATGCAAAAGGAGAGAGCTTATCGGCGGTTAGAATCGTTTTTACACCAAGACAGATTTCTTTCGATCGTACGGATCATCAGCCGAGCATCCCATGAGTCATGTATGCAACACTAGAACGTGCTGCTTACAGATGATACTCTCTTGTTTCCAAATATCAACCCCTAACGCGAGAAGAACGAGAATATTGGCTTCTTTCGTGCCTCCTCTGCATACTACTCTCGGTCGACGGAAATGTGAGAATTCCCGGCGTACGACGAGAAGAGTGGTGTCGAAATTGAAACGGCTGCGGCTGAATCCGGAACGGCTCCTGTCGGTTATCGTCAAGAAAATCCACGGTATCGTACCGGCGCTGAGGTTGCGTGGGTTCCACTTGAGGGTGCCACTCGAAGGTGCCTCATTGTCTATCTCGCGTGCAGCATCTCTAGCGAGAAACCTGTTAGGTCTGCTGTTGACGAGCATCGAAACTGAGCCGGAGAAGAGCTCAATTTCGGAGTCGGAACTTAAATGAACGCCTATCTCGCATCAGCCTTCTTCCCGGAAAATGTTTCATTTTCATCGTGAATGAAAATTTCATTGTTGTAGGTTTTGTGAATGACTTTTTTTTTCATCGTTATGTATTCGAATATAATTTTGGAAAAGTTCTCGATACTTGTTTGCATATGAGAACAAATTCGATGACTTACTTCCGCTTATACGGTACTTAACTCCTTGAGCGTGCAATATTTCCAATGGAAGCGTTCCTGTAGTGAGTAATAATTTCTGATTCGCGAAATGGCTTTACTAGATTTCTTAATAGGACTTCTCTCCGATCGTCGCCGATTTGAGGTGTAACGAATTTAAGTTTCTTGCCGAGACCCCGGCCCATACAGGGTATGCAGAATCCGAATGCCAAATATCACTCTCCACGCGGCACGAATCGGCAGGGCGATTCGTGCCGCGTGCCATCCGGTGACGATGGACTCCCCGTTCGAGGCCAATTCTCTGCAGCGGCGATGTTATCATTATGCGAGGCCCGACCCAACCCGATCCCGCCGTTATTGCCCTCAGATTGGCTTTTCTTTCCTTCTCGCCGGACTCACGAGGATTTGAGGATTCCGACGCGTCGGTGAGGGTTAAGTCGGGCCGAAAACGTCGGTCGTGCAAAGCGGCTCTCGGCGGAGCACGACGCGAGAACCATCGCTCAGAGAAACACCTCAACAACTAATTAGTTTGGGGAAGAGTGGAACGGAATTCTTCGCGCTCCGTTGCGTGAACGCTCGACCGTCTGGTTTAGCATTTCTTAGCTAGTGAAAATGAGACTCTACAAAGGCTTTTACATTCGTAAACGAGAAGATGGTAATCGATTAAATGTGCAACAGTGGCACGCGCACGTTGCATCACGCATGAGACCGTTTCTCACGCAAAAACTGTAAAGTGAAATGCAATTTCGCAATTTCTACATGTCACGAGGAGATGAGGCGCTTAGATTCCTGATTTGGCGGTTCTGCTTCCCCAGCTGCTTCCTCATCTGATCTCTGTGGTGTACGTAGGGTCACGTATTGAGAACACCGAATACCCTATGGAATTTCTTAAGTACGAACTGGATTGGTGTTCTATGACGTT